CCCCAAAACCCCCAAAACCCCAAAACCCCAAAACCCCATAAAATTCTTACTTATTGAAACTTATTCATAGCTAAAAGTCCAGAAGAATTATAAAAAATTAGTATAAATTAACCAAAATGAGAAAGGCCAAGAGCAAAATTAGGAGGGTCCGGAACAAAGAAAGTCAAAATACACCTAGTTTGAGGAAGAGCAGCCGCCAGACAGCAGGTTTTCACTCTCCAATAGCATCAGAAAGAATATACTTACCTGAAGAACTTCTTAAATAAAGACCCCAAGATTATGAATAGGGCAGAAAGAATCAAATACGAGCTTTATAAAGCTAAGATGGAGCACCGGGGTCATTTAGAGAAGATCAGGATCTTCCTCGGGATTGAATGAAGTCTTGAGAACCTTCTTCATCCTCCTCCTGATTCTTATGAGCAGTACATCATCAATCTTCATACTGAGGCTCCTCAACGTATAAAGACGTATAAATAAAATGAACCTTGATTTAGAAAGCAATGTTGAGATCCTTAAGGAAAGTATTGAGGAAGAGACCAACAGAAAGGACATAATAATCTCCAAATATGAACGAGCATTCAATAATGCTCAGGCTAAAGTCAAGAGCCTTGAACTAGAACTCCAAAATATCATCAAAATGGGTAAGCATGAGATTGACACAAACCAGAAAGAAATGGATCAATTGATCAGGACTAATACTGAAGAAGGGAGAACCTCTATTAAGGACGGAATCAAAAGAATTTTTAAGCTAAAATCTAACGCTCTCGCTGATCAGAAGAAGATGAGAATCATGGATGAGCTCAAAAGTCTCAAACAAAAGAGAACTGGTGAGGAATTTTACGAAAAACAACAAATGTCGCTAGAACAACATGAAAATAACATTGAGGAGCTTCAGAAGGAATACCAAAATAAATTAGATAGCAAGCAAGCTGAAATGAATGAATATCTTAAATAAGATCAACCAAGATCTAGCTGACCGTAAAGAAACCCAGGAGAAGTTCAATGATGAGATTCTTGCTCTCCAGAATGTCTATGAGCAGCACCAAAAGGTATGAAACTTCCACCTCTACATGTCTGATTTTAATTTTAGGATTTAAAGAATGAACCCAATATAAAAAGTTTATCTCCCTCTAGGATGCTATCATTTATGGAAAGCAGGCCTAAAGGAGATAGGAAGAAGAACTTCAGCTTGCTGCATAAAATAATGGAGAAAAAGCGACATAAGGATTTATTTGGTCAAAATCTGCAAGCTAAGTACAACGGTTATAAAAAGCTTAAAGCTATATTTGGTCGTAGTTCTAGTGTGAAGAGGTCCACTCATAACTTGGCATCTAAAATGGCGTACAATAATCACCTGATATCTGTGAATAACTCTTCTAAATTTGATGGATTGATGACGCAGAGAGAACTCAGCAAGAGTAGATTTAATTAAATTTCAATTATTTTTGGGTTTTAGGGGTTTTGGGGTTTTGGGGTTTTGGGG